TTCCCCAGCCAGCCCTGCTGGCTGGGGAATTCTGGGAGTTGAAGTCCACGCAACTTAAAGTGGCCAAGTTGAGAAACGCAAGGGCCCCCGTCACTCCAGCTTCCCCTCCGAGCAATGGATGCAGCAGCTTTGCAGCGGGGCTCAGCACTTCAGCTCCCCCAACTCCCCAGTTTCTTTGGCAGAAGCCGGGACAGGCGAAAAGTGCTTCCCAGTCTCGTCTGTAGTGTAGGCAGATGTGCTGAAATTAACCTGAACAGCTGGAAAGGCAGGAAGCCAGGAACGGACGCACCCGCTGAGGATCTGACACGGTGCACTGAAGCTGACTGCCGGGGTGGTGGTGGAAAGGGTTGAAGGATGCAGAGGGGGGTTCAACAGAATGCAAAGCTGGTGGAGCACAATTTCCACCCTGCACCGCTGGATTAAGGATCCAGGCACCCCACAAGCCCCTGGCCTCAACCAGGCATGGCTTGAAGGCAGCTCACCACACCCCAGTGCTGTGGAGGCTGGTGGGGCTTATGGGCCGTGCCCTGAGGAACGCAGTGCCCAAGCTGGACCACCGAGAGCCAAAACACGGATAACCAGGAACGCCTTCTGATCCAAGCCCTTCCCAGAGCCTCCCACCTGGGGCCCCTCGGAGAGGTCGGATGATGACAATTCCTAGAAAGCGGTTGGCGAGGCTGGCTAGGAATTCTGGGAATCGTAACCAGAGCGCTCTGGAAAGGCCCACTGAGGTCTAGCTGCTTTAGAAGCCCAAGGAGAGCCCGGACAGAGGAGAAGGGGCTCCTGACGGGCAGGCAGAACCGGCCTGTAGAAAGGCAGGCACGTTTTCTTATCAAAGGTGAGTGCCGCTTCACGCAGCGCCTGGAGCCAGTACACACACACACACACACACACACAGACAAAAAGTCTCCACAGACCTCTACTCTGCAAGTGAGCCACCTTCCCCGGTCCTGGCAGTGTTCAGAAACACACAAAAAACATAAGACTGAACCAAAGCTGGGCACAGAGCTCCCTAGGCTATGCCCAATGGAAGCAGCCCCCATGGCGCCACTTGTGTCCGCCCCAGCTGGAGCCCCTCTGTGCTTCTCAGACCCCACCCCACCCCACCCCAAGGGAGCTCCGTGGCCTCGCTGCAGCCCCTGGGGCCGCTCAGTCGCACCTTTTCCAAAAAGCCCCCCTGGAAGGGAAATTAGTGTCAGGTATCCCCATACACGGAATGTAAGGAAGGAAAGCTCCCCCCGCAGCCCCTGAATTGGGCCAGCAAGGAAGGGGGGAGGAGGAGGAGGAGGAGGAGGAGGAGGAGGACGGAGGAGCAACGGAGAAGGCAGCCGTTTCACTGAGGTAGTGGGACGAGGACTTCCACGTAGTTGAGTGGGAAGAAGCCCGACTGGCCGTTGATCATGCCTTCGTACCAGTTCTCGTCGATTTGGTTGGTCAGCGTGATGATGTCGCCTTCCTTGAAGCCCAGCTCGCCATCATTCTCCGGCTCAAAGTCGTACAGCGCCTTGCAGCAGGGCTGGTCCAGGTGTGGGGCTGGAGGGGCCGAGGAGGAAAGGTTAGCCAGCAGCTGCCCTTGGCCTCTCCGGAGCAGGTGCTCCACCGGGCCTCCAGGGTCACCCCTACTGCCCACAAGGCTGGAAGACACGTGGCCTTCGGCTGTCAAAGTGGACTGTGTGTGGGAATTGTAGTCCACCGAACGAGAGCAGTGCCGCTCACCCACCCTCGACTGACTCCCATTCGAACCAGAAAAGTCTGCTCTCTGGGGCCGGACATGGTCTAGCTGCAATTCCTGCACCACCAAACGGGGCTCTTTCCTTTCCAGCATTCGTTTCGTTTTTTTTCTCAAGGCAAGGGGCTCTAATCGTTCGGATGACCCACCCTTTGCTACCTCTGGGTTATTCCTTTTCTTTTACAGAGATCCAAATAACCCAAGGCAGAGGTGGCACCACCCACCTTTCTGCGGTCAGGGGAGGTCTAGTTGGGAAATGCCTTTCTGAACAGGCTCCCTCCACTGTGTTCGACTGCCCGGTTTACTGCCAGGGTTGCAAACCGGTGGGGTGGCAAGCAGGCTATTTGAGGGATGTAGGAAGCTCTCTTTTTTTCCAATTTATCTGCCCCTCTAGGACAAGGCAGTCCTAGGGACTCCCCAAAATCTCAGGCAGAGAGAGGGGGAGATCCAGATCTTAGACGCTGATGACATCACCTAGCCTGATAATGGAATATCTGTAGGAAAATAACCCAGTTCAGAGAAACCCCAGAACCCAGCTGTTCAAACCTGAGCTATGATTCTCCAATGTTGCAACTGCCTCTTTTACAGCCATATGAACTAGAAACATGAGTCTTAGAAAGAGGCCTGAGCTTTGGCTAAGATCCATGTACCCAACAAGTGGAAAGCAGAACATGGATAGCCCCAGTTCCAGTTATATGCAGCAGTGAATGGAACAGAGGAGGAGGGGAAAGCGAGGGTGGGGGTGTCATGCCCCATGCAGGAAGGGGGGAACGGAGGGGAGAGGAGAGGAGGAGAAAACGCAAAGCGGTGGGGGCGGCACTCACAAAAAATCCTGCTGGGGGTCCGGGACGGTTTTTCAGATCGGAAAGAGGAGGAAGCTGCTCCCAAAAAGGAAAAAAACAAACATGGAATAAAATAAAAACAGACGTGCACACACACAAACAGCCGTTTCAACGAAAGGATCTCTCTACGTGACGTTAAAAACAAACATAGGGAGGAGGAGAACAGTCAAGGAGGCGGCACAGAGGAGTAGCAACGGGACCTTCAACATCAGGGCGCTTGTCAAAGCAGCAGATATGAGGCACATGTGGGAAAGAGAGGCTCGGGGACCCCTCTTTCCCCGCTCCAACCCCACAAATGTGAAGATTTCCGTAACCCACGAGGATTTGGGATGTGGGGCCACCCCTGAGTGGGGGTCCTTTGGTGCAGGAAGCAAGGGGATTCTCAGCCTCCGTCCCTGAGGCTCGGGATCGCTGCCTCGGTAGCTCCGGCTGCAAAGGAGGCTGGCCAGGGAGGCATGGCTGCGGCTGACGAATATCCAGCGAGGGAATGATTCTTCCCCACCCAGAAGAAAAGCAACGTAGCCAAGCTATGAAATGTGCTGCTGAAAATGGGAAGAAGACAAATGCTGCGTGGGGAGGGTTGAAATGGGGGGGGGGTTCTTAGCCCTGAGGAAAGGGTCCCCCCTCTTCCTGAGGAAGCCGGCTGCCAGGAGGGGCAAAGGATGGGGCTCACCTCCTTAAAGAATAGGGGGATATCCCAGAGGGGGAGCTGGGGGGCATCTAGCCCCACCCCTTGCTCAAGGCAGGGAATTCAGAGCCGAGGAACTCTGTTTTAGAAGACATCCAGCCAAGAAAAGGCCTCCTTCTGCAGGAGGATTTGCTGAAAGGCTCCTGGGGTTAAGGCAGCCTTCTGAACATTCATCCCAAACCCAGCCCTCTTAACAGCGCGTCCCTCTCGGAGGAGCAGCAGCGAACAGGACTGGGCTTTTCCGAGCGAAAGGCATGCCTCCAATTCACGGATGCTCCCCAGAAGTGCAGGGGAGCCACCCCCCCAAGTCTTTTAGAAGTCCGACCAGCAGCAGCAATAACTTCAAAAGGGGTCCTGCTAAGCTGGGGGGGGAGCAATCAACAGGAGGGGAAGAAGGCCCCTTTTCTCCAACGCCTTTTGGTCATTGCAGCAAGCTCTCGGTGCATCTGACTGGCCCTTACCAGAGACTTTGGGAGCCGGGTTGCAGGAAAAGCCACCGTTGGACTGGTCACCGCTCTCTCCAAATTCGTAGGATTCCCTGGGCTTCGGTTTATATTCTCGCTTGGGGCGTGAAGAAGCGTCTCGCACTCTGGAAACAGGAAGAACAACAGGCTATCGGCCGGTTGGTGACCAACTTTCCCTTCACTGCCCAATTAAACCAACTGACCTACTTTAAGCCATGAAGCAAGTAGGGTCAAGAAATTAAGGTGGTTTGTTTTTTAAAAAATGCAAGGACTTAACCACAACACAGGTGGTAGGGAGCAGCTTTGGTTAGATGAGGTGCTCTCCAGAGGGGTGGAGGACAACTCCCATCACGCTCGCACCACCATCACCGGGCTTCGGCAGGCATCATTCAAGACATCTGGAGAGTTAATTCAGAATTTTCCTTTACAAGCTCATATTTTAATTTTTGTAGGGCTGCTTCCCAGAAATGATTTTTAAAAAAATCTATTTCCATAATTGAAATAGGACTTTAAAATGCATGAAAGTAAGTACATTAGGGTAGTTGTTTCTGTTGTATGCAAATTTAGCCAGGGCTGTCCACAGGAAAGGGTCACGTAAGTCCACAGGGCAGTCAGAACCAGGCAATCGAAGCCCCACGCTTTTCATGTGCTTCACAGCACACGTCACAAAGAGGCAGCGCTTTCATCCCGGGGTTCTGGTTGCCACCTTGACTTCCTTGACCCTCTCCCCCCGCAGACACTCCTCGGTTTAGCTGAATAGCTATAACTTATTACAAGTAAAAGGCCCCTTTCCTCACCCAGGGCCCCCAAATGCTGGGCTACAGTTCCCGCTAGCCTTAGCCAGGATGGCCAGCAGTGGAAACAATGGGACTCGTAATCCAACAACGCAAGGAAACCTTCGATTAGTAAACACCAGAGTGGACTGATCAGAGGTTCTGTTTTAAATCTCAAAATAGACGCCATTAAATCCAATTAAAATGTGGCTGAATGGATCTCCCTCACTAAGTGGTAGCATCGATCTGACTTTATCTGCGTTCAAAAGCTTAATGGGATTGGATGGGAGACCACCAGAGAATTCCAGGTTAGACTGGGAAATTAGGAAAAAAAAAACATTCCCAAAGAAGGCAGTGCCAAGCCACTTCCATTCTATTGTCAGGAAAACGACATGGCTGCACCCATGAAGTCCCCAGAAGTGTCCAATTTGATTTTTGACAAGTGGCATCACCTACTCACCTGAGCTGACCTCAAAAAAATCTTTAGTAGGGTTAGACCCAGTTACTGTTTGGATGGGAGACCACCAGGGAGTCCGTGGGAGATAATTCAATGGAAACTTACTTGAAGGAATTCTAGGTCTCGATTCAATGTGCACTCTGCTGTTTGGACACCGGGAGGCACCACCCACATATGGGTGGGGCTTGAAGGGAACCAATCAGTGCAAGAGCTTCCGAGATCCCCTTGTTTTCCTGGTGGCTACCCAGGACTTCTCTTCCCAGGTCCTGTTTCCGTGACATTTGCTCGCTATATATTGGACCCAACAACTGCAAAACGCTTCTGTTTTTGTTTCCGGGAGAGTCACGGGCCCCTGCTCAAATGCCCTCACCCAGCTGACCTGCGTTTCAGTTTCTCCGCCAACTCGTCCAGAATCTGCACGGCTTGCCTGTGGTAGTCCAGCTGGGCATCCACCAGAGCCGAAAGCTGGCTGACTTGCTCAATCTGCAGCAAAGCCAAGGGAGAAGGCACAGGTTCCTATTTCACGGACAGTTTCAGACACCGCTTGTTGAACAAGCCATAGCTGATCTTTTCACTTCTATTGCGCCCTTGGTCCTCTCCAAATGGGACAGGGCCTTTTGGTTTTCCCAGATACCAGAACACCCACATCATAATTAAGAGCTTTTTTCTCATTTGGGCCTGGCTCTGGTCAACAGACTGCAACCAGGCGGATCTTTGGAATCAGACGATGTAAACTTTAAAAAAAAGCAAGCACTAAAAAGCTTTTTTTTATGGGCCCCTATGAAGCTGATTTCAAATAGATGAATTATTGCCTGTGGCTCTAAATGCGTAGAAGCTATTATTATACATCACGGACCTGTATGTTTAAATGCACCTTCTGTTAAAGGTATGATTAATATTAACCATTAAGAATTGTTTCTATTGTTATTTTATTCCAGGTCTGTACTGGGCTTAGTTATAAGCCCCTAATAAATAAAACAATGACTAGTAATATATGAGACTATTAGACCCTAAACCATGGTTTAAAATACTGGCTAAGTTCACACATCCATCTTCAGCCCGAAGCAAGCGGCTTTATGCCTTAGTTCCATGTCCTTAATATAGCCCCAGGTATCACCTTACAAGCTAGTATCTTAAGCCATGATGTCATCATGGACCTGGTTGGAGTTAAACTACGATGCGATTTGTTTGGGGCTTAGCATAATGTGTGAACCCAGCCCATCGATTTGCTAATCTTGGTCTTTTTAGCTTTATGTTGCGGAGAACCAGGCTCCTGTGGCTTGTTTGGCAAAACAGGGCTGAGAACATCCTGGCTTGGTGAGATGTCGGATCACCCCTAATGAGCGATTGGGGCAACCCGTTCTCCCTGGCAGCGGTGGGAGGAGCAGCCCCTGACTTCACGGGGTGGTCACCAGGGAGAACGCCACAAAGGTGGCATAACCCCCCCCCCCACACACACACACACCCAATTGGTGCTAAAGAAAGAACATGCTGGTTTCAAATTGGCCCCAAACGTTATTGCTTAAGGAAGGGAAGAGTTAATAGGAGCACTTAAACATCATGTGTCACTATTGTAAGATTTGCCTGTTTGCAAAGCTGAAACTCATTAAAAAACAAAAACAAAACAACGATGGTATTTCCCAAGCAGCTTTTTTTGCAACATTTAGGAGTCACTTCACATCATTTTAATGATCTGCCTGGAAGTTAAATGCCACACTCCTTATTAAATTCCAGTTCTACTATTACTACTATTATTCATCTAATAATAATAATTTAAAAATGCCTTCCCCTTTTGCAAAGGGTGATTTTTGTACGCCTCAGGGCTGAGCGAAAAACAAGCACTTGGGATGAGGGAACTGAAGATCAAGTTTTTTCATTAATGCAGGTCAAGGGCTAACGAATCAAGGCTTGATCTAGGATTGATGACCTTCTTTAAAATAGGGCACAATCCTTATGTGTCACTGTTATAAGATTTCCAAGTGAGACAACCTACACTTCCATTTTTTCCCCCTCTTGGTCGCGAGGCACACTTACGTCGGTCTCGAGGAGGTTGTGCATACTGGTCTCGGCCACTTCCTTGGACTCTTCAAACTTTTCCAGAGCTTGTCGCAGCTCTTCGTCGGGAATTTTCCCTTGGCGTTTCTTTTTGTAGTCAAAATCCAAGCGTCGCCCTTCTAACTTTTTCAGATGGTGCTTTTGGGGTGGGCAGGGAGAAAAACAGGAGTAAATTGTCACAAAAGTGTAGAGAAGGGGTACGCTTGGCTTTTCCAAGTGAAACTACTTTTTAATGAAACCTCTTCCCCCAGTTAGCCGGTTATTAACAAGCATCGGTTACACTGGAGGGTATTCGCCTGCATTGGTTGCATAAGGAGGCCATTCTGCAAATGAGGTCATTTGGGTCAATCAATGGCATCTGCATAATAATGTCATTATGTAAATGCTGCAAATGCCCTCCACTGCGTAAAGGTGTCATGATATAAATGCCAAAGGTGAGGCCATTCCCCTTATACAAATGACATGAATTATTTGTATCACAATGATGTCGTAACCCATAACTGCCGGGAGTGCTCAAATACTTGGAGGAACAAGACTGCTAGCAAGTTGGAGGGGCCCTGAAACTTTAAGATAAGCTGTTCCATAACATGGAAAACCCCACCAAGAAGGAATGTCTCTAAGTCCCCATCCCTTTCACACCATGTGGAGATGGGCGTATTCTGGTCCTGAAGACCCATGGATCTGAGTCATGCTACTGCCTCTCTCCTTAACCCTCTCTTTGTTTCTCCTAAGATTTGTTTCCTCCTTATTTATTTATATTTAGGTGTTGCCAAAATGACTCTGGGCAGCTCACAATATCGAGATAAAAACACAATACAATATAAACAAACTAGATAGCATCTGACCATCAATTCATGACATGTGCAGAATTACATTCAACAAGGCGGTCCCACCCACCCTACTCCAAGGCCTGGGAGAACAGCCAGCTTTCAAGGCCTTCCAGTATGCCATCAGGGTGGGAGCTACAAGATCTGGAGGGATCTTGTTTCAGAGGGCAGGCACCACAACATGCAAGGACATGATCCAATCCGATGAGGTCTTCCTCCAAAATCCCCATCAAGTCACACATACACCCCCAGATTACCTGGATCTCTTTCAAGTCCTTGTCGCACAAATTCTGAAGGGGATCAATGAAGTTCTGCTTGACTTCGATGTCCAGAGAATCCTTCACTTCGGCCAGGCGCTTCATTGATTCTCCAGCATCAAGCAAGGCATCGCCTTTACCCACATGGAAAAAGACCAGAGCAGTTGGGATGGGATGAGAAGGGAGAAAGTGGGACCAACTGAAGCTTATGAGCAAGGCATTTCATGCCTCAGAGCCTTGCCATGGTTTTGATCCAGCATACAATCTATGAGGAGCATTGCTTACAAGCAGAGAACCAGGGATCAGGATTAATCTTGGGTGCCTCTAGTCAGAAGGATCAGGAAGGAGGCTATGGGAAAGATCTAAGGACCTGAAGAGATGCTGTTAGCTGAAGTGGACACAATTGGTCAAACTGATAAATGCATTGTCTGTATTGAGTACAGAGGATGGCTTTAAAGGAGAGAGAGAGAAGCATGATCAGATAAATGAGGCTTGAGTCCAGATGAAGGAGGTAAAAGAGGAAGGGAAGCGTATCCAGACTTGCAAGATTCTGTTACTATAGCTGTTCTAATAAAAGCATGCTGGCTGGGGAATTCTGGGAGTTGGTCCACACATCTTAAAATGGCCA